TCTCTTTTCCTCCGTACCCAAATCTCTAAAAACGGGGCTACAACGGAGCTGATCCAGATTTGCGTCCGATATGACGTAATATCGGAAATGTTGGCCATCTTTACACCCACGGCCCTATCAGAAACGTTGCTATCAGAAACAATGCCCGACTGTTTTGGACGTAATATGGTCTGTGTTTACATTAGCGTCGCTAACACTCAGAGCTAACCTGTACTGCACAGAGCATGTGTGTGAAGAAGCAGGAAATAAAAAGGAACTCACCTTGTGGTACAACCCGCAAGAGAGAAAGCCATTGAGCTCCATAATGTTTCAGAAATAATCCTTGATAATCCATGATATGGCGTTTCATCACCGCAGTATCTGCCGGTAGAATCTCCCGCATGAGCTCAGCCCCCTCCTTTTTTTTTTATCAATTTTTTTTTTTTTTAAAGCTTTATACCCAAAATCAGCCCTTTTGAAACAGGAAGTGAAATAGAGGGATATGAGGCATGGCTCGAATGGGTGATCTGTTTGGTATTTTGAGCAAAACACTTCATAGACATGTTTTTTATATATTTTTATATATCTGAGACCTATGCTATTGCCTAAAAATAGCATGATAGGTGACCTTTAAGTATAACTTGATGCCAATAAATTGTTACTTTTGCTTAAGAGTTTGAATGCAGGACTTTTACTTGTAACAAAGTACTTTTAAAATGTAGTATTGCTACTTTTACTTAAGTACAGAGTCTGATTATTCTTCCACCTCTGTGTGACTGTGATTTTACCTTTTCAGTTTTCATCACTCTCCAAAAAGGACCTGAATGCCAGGGACTTCCTACCCAAGTCCATAATCTCTGCTGTGACCCGCAAACGTAAGAAAAGCCTGAGCACCCAACTGCAGGACGACAGCGCCGACGAGGACTCCGAGCACGAGCCCAGCAAAACCAGCAACTACGGGGGAGGAGAGGAGGAGGGGGGGGAGGAGGAAGTGGAGAGAAGGAAGGAAGAGGCGGCCATGGGAGAACATACCTTCCCTAAAAAAGAAAAAAGGGTTGAAGAGGAAACGGCGGTGAAAGCTAGAGAGACCTCTGAGGGAAACCATTCTGTGGCTGCAGAGGAAGGGTCTGAACAGGAAGTGGGGAGTAGAGCAGGAAAAGCTGCAACACATTTTGAAAAGGAGAGTAGGCGTAGAACCACCCCGCCTCGAAATGTGCCGCAGCTTCGTCCAAACAGTTTCCACTGCCAACACTACCAGACCACCTACCCAAGACCCCCAGCAGAGTCTTCTTCTTCCAATGTGAGGCCTCACAACCAGGCCAGAGGACTTCCCATAGTCCCTTTCTGGATCCGCCCCACCCGGCTTCCCAGCCTCTACCAGTCTTCGAGCTTTTATGGGACCCAGCAGCCCGACTGGAACCAGTCCGCTCCGGTCCACTACAGGAAAACGAGAGGGGAGAGGACCAGAGCTGTGTCCATGAATCTGGACCTGGAGCTGGGCAGGGGGGAGGACAGGGTGAGAGGGTGGAGAGCAGAGAGGGTGGAGGTGATCCGGGTCATTGAGGGACCACCGGGTCAGGTTGCACGTGTTGGGGTTCCTCAGGGATTAATTGTAGGTCCTGGGTCAATTCAGGAAATAGATCCTCCCCCTCACTCTTCCTCGTCCTCACCTGCTGCTCACCCTGTGGTCCTGAGGAGGTCGGGTTTGGCCCCCCGGGACAAGACGAGAGCGTGGCGGCGTCACACGGTGGTCGTTTAACCGTCTCATCCACTAATGCAGTACCACGCACCCTCCCTTTACTCACAACACTGGAGCGCCTGTCACTGCCTCCACACACAGCATGTTGCTTTAGGGGTCTCTGATATTATGAGCAGCTGTAGAGTTTCATTCCAAAATGATACCACCGTCATTTAAAACATGTGAAACCCATAGGATTCACTATTCAACTCAAATCGAAGCTATGCATCTTTAACCCTTTACTAACAAAATAACTAGATTTTATTATCGTATATCGTTATACATTTTAAAAGAACATTAGGGCTGAAAAAGGTAAGCTGATATACTGGTATTTAGGAAAACTACACATCAAAAAAATCTGATCACAGTTCTCAGGGAAAAAGTCTGTGTGGTGGGATCCACACCACTGTCGTAGATAGTTGCGGTACATTACATTAGATGTCATTTAGCTGACTTGCATACACTTCAACCCAGCAGACATGCCACAGAGCAATTGAAGGTTAAGCATCTTGCCCAATGTCCGCCTATACTGGTGAGGGTTATATATAATACTGTATCTGACAAGCTAACATGCTAACAAAAAACAGCCATGCTACTGTTTGTCAGTCACAATAGATATCTTAGCTAGGTAACTTGCTAATTTTCAGTTAGCTTGGTCGCTAACAGAACAATAAGTTCACACAGTTGTTGAGAAGAGGATGACTTAAAGTGGAAAGTGCGCCAGCTGATAATCTGCAGTAGCTTCTGCTCCTCAGCTGACTCATCCTTATGACCATCACCTGAAGAGTCACCAGTGAGAATTCAAGGATTTAACTAGTGACTCCACAACAATTCCATTGACATGGCCAAATATTGCTGTTTTAAATGCTGGTCCGACAGGGGCTTTACAACAATATAACTAGATACACTTGTTTCCTAAAGTGGTTTAATTGAATGATTCTTGGAAAAATGTGGCAAAATATCTCTTTAGATGAAGTGAACGGAGTGATGAGAAAATATTGTCATAATCGGACACACAGACCTACATATCAAAAAGAATAATGCAGTGAATTGCAGAGCAGATTTATCTGTCTTTTCAAATGTATGGCTGGATATATTCCAGGGAAGTAAAACCTCTAAAATTACAACAACAAAAAACATACACTAATGAATAACAGTGACCATGTTATTAAAGCATCTCTCAAGAGATTCTGATTGGAACAATCTCAGTCAATCGTTTACAGTGCTGTTCCTAATACAACCACTAGGTGGGAGTCCTGCATCCTACACATATTATATATTTCTTAAACATTTTTTTGGAATGAAACCCTTAAGTTGTAAATGTAAAAGAGGTTTGAAATGAGAGAAAGCCATATGAGATGATTGAAATGAATCTCCTGCTGCCTCACCAGAAGACACTCGGCCACAGGTCTTATGCAAAGTGCTGTACATGCTGCTGTCTTCCTATGATGTCTTTGACAATACCCACATGGGCAAAAATAACATATTCAACCAACCTGCCGCCCTGAGTGCAGCTCAGTGACTCAGAGGAAGCTTCAGTTTACTGCTCGGCCCTTTAAAGCTCTTCCAAAGCCTCCTGAGGTCCTGCAGGGACCCCCAGTCACCCTGCAGGGACCCCCAGTCACCCCCCTGGATGATGGGACTTGGGCATTATGCCAAAACTTCCATGACTAAGACATGTGTGCATGGGGTCAGTGATATTTCAGTGAGTAAAAATATGCAAACTGTAAGTGTAAGCCTCTCTGTAAGTGTAAGCCTGTGTGTGTGTGTGTGTGTGTGTGTGTGTGTGTGTGTGTGTGTGTGTGTGTGTGTGTGTGTGTGTGTGTGTGTGTGTGTGTGTGTGTGTGTGTGTGTGTGTGTGTGTGTGTGTGTGTGTGTGTGTGTGTGTGTGTGTGTGTGTGTGTGTGTGTGTGTGTGTGTGTGTGTGTGTTCCAGAGGAAACTAACAGGAGCGTTTAAGGCAGCTATGCGACGTCATGCCAAAATGATTTATCTTTTTTTCTGTTTGTACAATATCAGCAGAATGGAGCCAAGAAGTGACCTGTGCACTTAGTGCCACAGTGAGGCTCCACTTCATACATTATATCAGTGTTACTGTCGCCATGGCAGCAGTTGGAAGTAGGTGAATAAGCTCCTTAAATCCAAACACCACAGTCTTACCTGAGTGATACTTCTTCCTTTCCACGTTTTCACTATCTTTGCTCCCGTTAACAAACTTTAGTTGTTTAAGTCTAAAAAGATAAAAATGGAGCTGAACCAAACTGCCAGCCCCCCCCCAGACTCTGTTTGTCTTAATCATATCTACAGTCTGTCCTCTGTGCCCCTGTGCATGGACTTTATGTACGTGGGTGACTGTGCGTGGACCAATTTTGTAACAGTTGTACAAAGCCTTGTTAAGTTAACCTGTGTATATAATTATTATACATAATATATTAAATTATTTGTTTTGGAAAACGTGGTGTGCTTATTTTCTGATTCACATGTGAGTTTCTGTGAAAACAGTTGTATAATGTTGTGTGCATGTGAAGTTTAAGATATAAGCAGGTTAAAATGAAAGGCCATTTGCATTATGGGAAGTGTAGGCTTGATCGGAATTTGAAACTGATTATGCCAAGGCACCGTATGAACATTACTTATACAAAAATTATTTCAGACACCTGCATTGATCAATTTAACATTTCACATCATATATTTTATTTGGTACATGATCATAACTGCCATAGAATATCCGTATAACTTTATAGAGGCTGAAAACGGATTTAGAAATTATTTCATTATTTCAGACCATGTTTGATTGTCCTAAATCCAAATTAAAACTCATGATTAAGTCATTTTACAATGAGCTTAACACACTTGTATAACTATATTCTAACTATATTTTTGAAGTAATTTGTATTTATCTCTTAACAGTTATAAATGTGATTTAACTCACATTTGTGTTAAAGGTGGGGTATGTAATTTATTTCAGAAACACTTTTTGTTATATTCCATGGAATGATCTCAACCTGTCAGCCTTGCATCTGTGCACAAACTTATCTCGTGCTCTCATTGGTCATGTGCGCGTTTGTGTGTGTTGGAGGAGGGGCTCTATAAGGAGGTGGCAGATTTGTTCCGGTTGTGTATTTTCAAATTCTAGCGCACTCAAGCTGGTTTCTCAAATGACCTACCCCACCTTTAAATGAATAAAACGATAGAACCATGTTTGTTGCATCTAACCAGCAGCTTACTGCCAGTTCACTTTGTGATTAAATGTAAAATGTGTAATAACTCCACACAACATAACATTTTAATCAATATATATTTTAATGTCAACTCATGCATTAGTATTATACATTTTGACATGGACATTCATTACAGGGAGGTTTTAAAAACAGTTCTTCCATCATTTGGTGACAATGGTTTCAGCTACATTAGTCATTTGTGTTTTATCATTTCAGAGGTTACAAATTAATCTGATTACTGATGTTGGATTTACTGAATTAGATACACAATAAGTGTGGCGGCGATAAAACTTGTATTCTACATGGAATGAAGGTGCAGTAAGCACATGGGAGAGAGGAGAATGGAAGAGGATATTTCATTGTGAGACTTAAATATAAGTCAAAAGAGAAACTGACAAACAATCTGAGGTGAAAGTCAGATCTGACAGAATAAATCAAAGTGCTCCCCCCCAAACATCAGAGAGATATTGACGTTATGAATCCTGTGTGACTGATGATTATCAGGACATCTGTAGATCGACTGCTTCCATTTAAAGGCAGATACTTTGGCTGTTTTTTTATATTCTGTTAATTCCTAAAAACATTGATCTAAGGTAGCAAAAGGTGACGGTACATCATGTCTGACTAACTTTAATTTAACAATATAAATCATGTCTTTATTCTGTCTCATGATCAGTATCCTGTGTTTCCGCCCCCTGCTGCCCAACAACAGCCAGCTGACTCCTCCTGAATAATTTAAATAAAGATTGATGTGCTGCAGTGAGTGAGAGGACTTTGATCCTGAGGTCAGGTTGCACGTGTTGGGTGTTGGGGCTCCTGCACCCTTCAGTGAGGGAGGGGCCTCCTCATGGATTCCATCTTGCTGTACAAAGGAAGCCTCCCCACTGATGGTAACTACAGGTGAGTGGTTCAGAGTGTTCCTCAGCGTCCTTCATGAAGATATGCGGCCCCTCCTCTGGGCCCTCCTCAGCAGGTAGACCAGGCCCTGAGCCACGAAGGGCCACAGCAGGAAGAGGAGCACGGTCTGCCCCGACACGTCAAACAGCCCCCACCGCTCCTCCTGGGGGGACAGTGCATGGGTACCAAACGGTATTAAAGAGGCCCTGTTCTGCTTTTTCTGGTTCTCCCTCTCCTGTAGTGTATTCTAGAGGTGTTGTGCATGTAAATCAGGGGTGTCAAACTCAAGGCCCGTGGGCCAAATCCGGCCCCCAACTTCATTTTATGCGGCCCGCAAGAGCTTGCAAAGAATATAATACGTTTATTATACGGTTACATGCCGCTTTACAGAAGCAGGTTGCCCATAAACTACATGTCCCACAATGCATCTCGTTTTGTGACATGCGCACTGAAGAGACTTGCAATTATTTGCCCCAGACTTCTGCTTTCAGACATAGTTAATTATGAAGTTATTACCCTATCCGATAATAATCCAATGCAGAGGCAATAATGTAATATAATACATTATTTTATATATATTATATATTTATATATGTATATTTATATAGTCTTAAAGTTACAACCGGCCCTTTGAGTGCAACCATAATGCTGATGTGGCCCGCGATGAAATTTAGTTTGACACCCCTGATGTAAATGGTCTGCAAGGGTAAAATCTCTGTGTTCCCTCCAGAGGGAGTTCCTCTCCCACCCTAACCCTAAAAACAATAGTCTGAGGAAAAGGAGATTAGATTCATAAGCAAAAAACCTCTGAACTCTGAGGTTCGAGTGGTTAATTTATGAAAAAACAACATAAATGTATTCTCTGAGACTTTGAAGTAATACGTTCGCCTGAAATGTCTAAGAAACTGAAAATACTTGAGGTGCTCTTAAAGGAGTTGCATATATTTCTAAATAGATTCAGTGAAACTAATTGATGGTGTCTGTAGGCCGATGGAGCCACGCTGCCCCAAGTCTAGATTGTTGATGGCACCTTAAAAAGAAGAAGCTCTTGTCTTTCATTGTATGTGTATAATGACAATAAAGGCTTATTTTCTATTCTGTTATTAATTTGATTAATTGTATTTTGACAACTGTATTTTAAACCCTTTCGTAAAGGGGTATTGACAAAAATAAAATGGCATATACAGTATATCATTTATCTTGTTTTGAATATGCTGCTTCTCTCTTACCTGCTGTTTTGAAGCTGCGGCGGCACACTGTGCGCACGTTCTCCACTCTGACCCCTGAGCCTGCAACACAAACAGCCGTGAGCCTCAGAGAACACACTAACATTCATTCAAACACAACATTGGAAATAATCTGTGCTTGAATTTCTGCCAAAATGTACAACCATGTCCTTCTCCAGAGGACAGCATGACCACGGGCAGAAGGACCTCCAGCTGCTCCAGTCTAAATACTGATATGAGATATTGTGCTAGGTTTATTATTAGGCAAAGCTTAACTTAGAAATCTATTTATCAGCTCAGATGAGCAAAGCTTTTTAAAATTACAAGATGATCATTCTCCATTCAGAAAACAAATCATTAATTCAGGGTTCCTACCAGAGATGGAGTACTCGAGTCCTGGACTCGGACTCCAGTGTCGATTTTCGGGACTCGTGACTCGACTCGGACTCGCGCACTGATTGACGCGACTCGGACTTGGACTCGTGAATTCTCGCGCACGATGACTTGGACTCGGACTCGTGAATTTTTCCCCCCACGATGACTCTGACTCGACGTGTACATTGACGCTCCGACTTGGACTCGGACTCAAGCAAGTTTTCTCTGGAGTCTGATGTCCTCTATCCTGGCGTGTGCACCTGCGAGGCGAGTTCACGTACTGGGCCCCGCTATTCCAGTCTAAAGATGTCTAGAGACACACCCCGCATCGTGCTGTATGCTTTCACACATTCTGCTTCCACATTGGAAAAGAGCAGCGCAAAATGCTCTATGTGGAAACAATATTGAAGAGAAGGCTCCGTAACACATTACTCTAAGGATCGAGTTCAGACATATAGGCTGTCTTGAACACTATCATCAGAGTAACGTGATCTAATCAATAAATAAAGATTCAGCCAACACGAAAACACATGGCTACTTAACATGCAGAATGACGTCATTTTGCATGCTAAGTAGCCATGTGCTTTCTGGGGCTCAATCTTTATCGGTAAACCGATTTAACCGGTAAAAGTTCCTTCAAAATAAGAGTCCCGATCTTATTACTATCAAAATAAAAGTGCAAAACAAAAACTTTACCATAGGAAAATATTGGCATACAAATATAATCACTTCTCTAAAAGGTAAGTCATTTTAAATATAGTTAGACATATTATAGGTCATTTACAATAATAATAATAATATTAATATTAGTAATAAGCTTTATATTTGTATAGCACCTATTACAAGAATTGTAGCCAAACTGGCTTCACAGCAGTTCAATAGACAGATTAGTATAACATGACAGGATAAAAGCAATGTAGAGGAGCGGCTACATTTCAACACATATATCCACGAAGATTAATACATGAAGACTTGTGACTCGGACTTGACTTGGACTCTTCTTAGGTGACTCGGACTTGGACTCTGACTCAAACACAGGTAATGATGACTCGGACTCGACTCGGACACTCCTTGGGGGACTCGGACTTGGACTCGTGAATTGGTGACTTGACTACAACACTGGTTCCTACTAATAGGTATCATTATTTTGTTATTTCGGCATTCTTTTTAAGCGTTTATTGCAAAATATGAATGACTAATTATGAATTTTTGGTCATACCACTGTAGTAAACCAGACAGACAAGAGACAGAGAGCTTGGTGAAATTCTCTGAGCTCTGTGTGTCTCAGAGAATGATTTGGATTATGAACCCAGACACAGAGCCGTGTGTTTCCCAGAGTATCTGGAACTTGCAACATGATCAAAGCAGCAGCGTGGTTATCTCTTTAGAAGCCCCGCCAGTTCACACAAGTAGCGCAGGGCAGAGATGGGCTCTGCACCAGGCTCTGCACCATGACACCGTGTCCTCACAGAGCGTGCTGATCTTACATGTGTGGCAGCGAGCCGCTCCACCACCTCCAGCCGCTCCATCACGCTCCTCATGTCCTCCCTCAGCCGGCGCAGCGCCAGCACGATCTGCTGCTGCAGCTGGGCCTCGTGCAGCCTCTCCACCCCCCCCTCAGAGCCGTCCCCGCCGCCTCGGCCGGCCCCTCCACCCACGCCCTCCACCCCCCTCCTGGGACTGCCCTGAGGAACACCACCTACACAGCAGAACAGAATATATGAAGCTCATCCATCAGTAAAATAACACCGAGAGTAACGGAAGGTGGGGGGGAGAAAAATAAGTTTCTAGTGATGCAGAGATATTGACTAAATTAAAGACTTTAAATAATTACTTCAGAAATACTACTTTCACACTCATAATCAAAGAGGATTCTCTGCTCTAACAACATCCACAATTATCTGATATCCACACCAGTGATAAGTCTAGTGCCTATTTGTCAGACATGCACAGTTACAACTGTTTTATACAAACAGCTCAGAAAATATTAAGAGACCACTCCACATGTTTCTTAAATCTCAATCTACATGTATGGCAGCCATTCCATTCCAGTGTCTGTTGAATGCCAACACAGAGAAATGTAGTCAGTAGTTCATAGAATAAAATAAATGTTCATTTTACTCAAACACATACCTATAAATAGTAAAACCAGAGAAACTGATAATGCTGCAGTGGTCTCTAAATGTTTTCCACAGCTGTATTACTGCTTAGATTTGAGCTTTATTGATTCATTTAATATTTCTGTTATATCTTAATTTCTTCTTGTTTTCTTTGTTGTGATTTACCTATGCTATATGTAAAAATATGAGTTTATATTCTGAACAAAGTGCATCTCTTTAATGAAATCAGCTGATAAATTAAAGAAATTAAGAAAAACCAAACTCAACCCTTTAAATATGTTGAAACCCTGTTGTTTGCTTACGTTCTCTCCAGTTGTGGTGTGGAGCTTCCCTCCCTGTGTCTCTGCTCCTCCGCTGGGGGCCCTTCCCGTCCTCCGCCCCCTCTCCACCCTGCCCCGCCCCCACCTGCCTCACCTCCAGACGGCCTTCCAGCTGAAGGCTCTGAACAGGACACGACTCAGAGGACACGTGGCCATTGGGAAAACCATTGGTCTTCACAACGGTCAACTGTAAACACAAAATGCGAAATATTTTATATGTTCTTATTTTTATATTTACAGATAGTGAAACTTTGAATCACTGCAACACTATGAGTTTGCTCTGTTCACTGCCTCAGCTGCTTCATACCTTGATGTTGCTGAGCTGCTCCACAGAGTCAACAGAGTCACAGAAGATCTCGCTCTCTGAGTCGCTGGTCAACACCACGCCCTCACACACTCCAGAGTCTGCAGGACAACAAGGATTCAATGAGGAGAACACATCTGAAACTAGAGGGGCACGAGCAGCACAGTGAATAAAGGTAGAGCAGTTACTCTTCTATATCTCCCTTTTCCACTGAGGCTTTTCATGTTTTTACTGTAGCGGCATCGGCACAACGTCAGAGGCTGAACAGCAAATAATACGTGTGAACTATAATTTATTATTGAACATACTTGTGATTACAACCTGTTTTCTATCATTGTGGGAGCAACAAGTATCTCATTCAAAGCTTTTGGTGAATAAGGAATATGCCATAAGTATGCCTGATTAATGTACTGCAAGGTGGAGTTTTATATAACATGTAATGCGTTCTTCCATTAAACACGCCATAAACAATTAATCTATTATTTATTTTGTTGGCTCTAAATCTTGTTATTGATTAGTCAGACTGGCTTTAGGGGTAGGCTAACATTTTCCATGTAAGACAAGAGAAACCTCATAATATACAATCCTTTATCTACGGCAGTATGTCGCCAAACAATGTCAATTAAACTGCTCTGATTTACAGAGGCATCCTTATAGCCACGTTACTCTGGAGAAAAGTATAAGGGCGGAATAGCAACATGAGCACAGCTCCAACATAGTCCACCGCTGCTGTTGTTCTGAGAAATATTCACTCTGGAGTTGCAGCGATTAAAATATGTGACATCATGACGAGGCTCCTACAGGGCTTTGATTTGTGGAAATGCAAAATGGTTTTAAGGATTTATGGATGTTGAACCAAATGCAATTCAAACTAGCCGCAGCAGATAAACTAGAACAGAACTAATTTTAGTGGAAAAGATGTTTACGATAGTACTTCCTGTTGGTACAGATAGATAGATAGAAATGGAGGGATGAAACCCTCTTTAATGGTCACACATGCAGAGCACACAGCGAAATGTGTTCTCTGCTTTTAACCCATCCTAGTACTAGGAGCAGTGGGCAGCTACAGATGTAGCACTCCAGATAGGACTCCAATGGGTGTGTCCCAACCAAAAACCCAGCAGATCCCAGTGGCTGGGGGTGTTGCCAAATTGCTAGAGGGCGTTGCCAAATTTCCCCATTTGTTCAATTACAGGATTTAACCATGAGATGGCGCTTCATTCACAAATACAAATACAAATAATAATAATGAGAAACTATGAAATAAGAAATGAATACAATTAAAATGTAATTATATCATATATTATATAATGTATTGTATTATTAAGTAATATCATACATTAACCCAATTATAGCAGATGCCACATTGAATGGATGAACACATTTATGCATCAATAATTACAGAGTATTTCTAAATAAAAGTTGTAAAAATACTTATATGTATTTAATACTAATAACATAATGATTCATTTCAGATAATACTTTTCAGGGTTAGGTCCGGTCTGACAGCGCTTAGCTCTCTGCTGCAGAGAGGAAGAGAATTCACTGCTCTAAACAAAGTCAAAAATCAACATACAGTAGGCAACATAGGGGGATGGGGGCTGGTGAACGGTATGGTCAATGTTTGTAAACACAATCCCCAGGATGTGTCCTAATACTACTACCAAAAGAGAAAATGCAGATATTACACTCATAAAAGAAATGGTAGACATATCAGTACTCTTAGTGCCAAGTTGTCTCAGACAATCTGCATTTCCTAATGTGGGACAGTTCTGTGCAAAATGTGGGACACTGAAAAGTCTATGTTAAAAAGCCTCAGTCACCTTAATTCATGTAATAAAAACATCTCAGGTCAGTAACACTCAAAGCTAAATGTGCAATACCATGTTCAGCTATGTTACTATTTATAATGTTATTGTTGTTACAACAGAAGATGTTTTTCTTTAAATTGAAGTTAAATGCATCAATCTGGTGCACTTTGAGGGCAAAATTAAGAGATTTATGGATACAGCTCTCAACACTCATATGAAACAGAACTGTTCTTACAATGTGTGTTGGAAGGATTTATTAAATTACTATGCATATTTTATTTAAACTTGTTTAAAACATATCTAAATAAATATGTGTGTCCTGGGCCAAGGAGCGTATTGAGCAGGAAAAAAGAAGAGATGGAATGATGGAGCAACTGCGCTGTCATATGTGTGGGCTGGACCTGTATAGTTTAATTTACAGGAAAGGAGTGAGCAGAGGGTAGAGTTGTACTAAAGAGACACGTTACCATGGAAACCAAACAATGGTGTAGCTGTATTGAAGTCCGAGTGGAAACAGTAACATTTGGAGCGTTATGTTAGAATGAAACAGCCAGGTCGTGACTCACACAAAAAAAGTGTTACTTCACTAACTGTAAACTTGTCACTCAGAGTAACCTACAGTTAACTTAACTGCTGGAGAAGAAAGATCAGGGGGGGGGGGGGGGGGAGAGAGCTGTGGCTGATGGGCCATTAGGTGTGTAAACACACAGCTGATCACCTGAGAGCACTAGTAACAAAAACTATTAACAAAAGGATACTGTTGGACTCAGTACTTGTTATGGCGCATTTCCACTACACGGTCGGCCTCGGCCACACTCGGTACGGCTCGGTACGGCTTGGCCGCGTTGGGCCTTAACAGGGCCGACTCACTTCATGCTGCGCTTCCATTACAGTTTAGGAACTGGGGTAGTTACTATAGTAACGCAGTGTAGGCGGAGCCGTGACGTCATCTTCAATGAGAAATCCAGAAACACAACACAGCCGTTAGCTGTGAGCACTCAGAGCTCACAGCTCCTTATATATGTTCAGAAACTCGACAAAAGTTAAACAAGTACAAACCACAGACTGCCTGTGTCATGGTGAATACAGTCGCTGCCTTATTTATGTCTGTATAGGCCGTTGTTGTGAGTGTGGACGGTCGGGGCATATACTGCGTTAGCTTAGCCAATCTCCATCTAGAAAAACACGCATTTTAAAAGGTTTTTCCCCTGCCGTCTGTCTGCAGACTTGACAAAGCATTAATTCATGGTTTTTACTAACCGGTATCAGTATGTTGTTACTTCGGCATCATTTTGAAACGTGTATTACAATTAAATCACGGTCAAATATGTCCATCTTGTTGTAGTTCTAGCCCTCTTGCCAGCGCTCCTCTCTCTAGTTTAGCATACTCAGCCCGACTCAGCCCTGTTTGTTGGCCCCGATAGAACCACAATTTTCTAGGGCCAGAAAAGAGGGGAAAAAGTGGCCCCGCGCCGTGCCGCCCCGGAACGAGGCCTAGTGGAAGCACAACCAAAAAAGTGGACGGCACGACACGGCACGCTTAAAGCGAGCTACGCGCTGCAATGGAAATGCGCCATTAGACTACTACCACAAGTACAATCAAGTACTTTTACTGTGTACTTTTTTAGTAATACTCTGTCAAACTCCCCTCCCGAGTACAATCATTCATGTATATGCTATATTTTATGAGGGATAAAATGATTCTTAGCCATAAGTTCTCAGTGAAAGTGGTACTGTTGGACTCAGTACTACTTGGACTACTACCACAAGTACAATCAAGTACTTTTTGAGTAATACCCTGTCAAACTCCCCTCCAGTCTCATCTTTGATGAGATAAAATGCATTTTCCTCCGGTCGGATGTGATATAAAAACAAACCGATTATTTTTGTAGTTGTAAACTCACGTGGATTAAACTACATATACGTATTAGTGTATTGATTTCAATTCGGCGAACATATGATACATTAAATGATCGTGAGGATGATGATTACAAATCGTTTGTATGAGCCGGTCTGCATTTCCTGAAAAAAAAACATAGCGATGGTTTTGTACTTACACCAACGTGGATTAAACAACATTATTTTGTTAAATAAAAACATGGTGATGTTTTGTAAATGATTACATGTCTCTTATTTAGCACAGAATATGATCCTATCCGTGACATATGGATCTTAACAAATATCCGCTAGATCAGCTGTTTATTTTTTATTTCACATGAGTTCCACTGTGGCAGCTTTTTAATCACTGCACCCCCTGGTGGATCCATGATCCATTGCAGCTGGTTTCATTATAATTACATTTATTTATCAAGGGGGCGTATCAAGTCCTGCGGGAGGTTTTCCTTTTCAGCAGGGGCCCACCCCGTGCAGATCACGGACCCGCACGGGTAGGCGTCTGAAATGCAGTGCTACATCTGTATTGTTCAGCGCCCAGGGAGCAATGGGAATTGGGGGGGGGGGGGGGGGGGGGGGGGGGGGGGGTGTCCAGTGCCTTGCTCAAGGGCACCACGGCAGGGCCCAGGAGGTGAACTGGGACCTCTCCAAGTAGCAGTCCACACTCCATACTTTAAGTCTGGTCGGGGACTTGAACCGGAGACCCTACAGCTCCCAGTCCAAGCCCCTACTGACTGAGCCACTGCCGGACAAGGTCTCTGCATTTGACCCATCCTAGTGTTAGGAGCAGTGGGCTGCCATTATGTACGGCGCCCAGGGAGCAGTGTAGGGAACGGTGCCTTGAGTCTTTCCGGGACTTGAACTGGTGACCTTCCAGTTGCCAAGTCCCTATGGATTTTGCCACCACCGCCCTACAGAGCTGGACTTCAATTATTCAACTAAACCTGGCCAGAGTACGTTATCTAAGTATGTCCACAGTAAGAAAGAACAGTTTGAAAATGGCTCTGTTTCAGCCCTCTGTTTGGATTACAAAGGGTTATTTCCCTTTCTAAAGTGGTCCCTGGAGTGTATAAATCCTAAAAGTGGGCTTAGTGTTTCAGTGTGTTTTTTTTTTAACCTTTATTTAACCAGATAAAAGCATTGAGATAAAATCTCATTTACAATGCTGACCTGGCCAAGAAGGCAGCAACGTTACACATTCTACACATAACACGGACATATAAAATACAGAGAACACAACCAAGTAAACAAAAGACGAAAAGCATTGTGCACATTTGGGACAGTAAGAAAGGTGCACTACTTATTACTGCAAGAGCAGCTGGTGGTAAGGACCTCAGACAACTTCAATTTAAAACAGGCTATTGGGACAAGTGCCATCAGTTTGAGTCATTCCAAGACCAAGGACCATAATAAAAAAGACTCCTTTTTCCAGCCTCAGTCCGCACGGCAGGTACCTGGAACCGTGTCCAGGCACTGGTTCTGAGGTTGTAAGAGTCACAAACTGGAGCAAATCTGGCACATATATACAGTGGAAGCTTACCTAACATGGCTTTATACATTAATAAAAACCAATGCTGCATCCTACGCATACTAAGTGAGGACCATCCAGTTAGGCTATACAGTTTGCAATGATGAGTCCTATAGGGTGCATTTGATATATATCGCAGTGCAGCATGGTAGAGTGGGTCAAGTTTGGCCAAAACAGTGGGAGAGGCAAATCTATAAATTGTATCACCGTAGTCAAGCTGGGACAGGAATAAGCCAGAGACCAACCTTTTACGGGAAGAAGTTGAAAAACAACATTTAAGTCTGTAAAGGAAGCCAAGAGTGAATTTCAATTTCTTAGTTAGAACTTCAATGTGATGTTTAAAGTTTAGATTTCTATCCAACCAAAAGCCCAGATATTTGTATGTATCGACAAACTCAACAGAGACGCCATCAAGGCTGTCAATAGGGGCGTTCACACCAAGTACTTTTCCCACAGTAGTTCATGAGAACTTTAGTTCATGAGAGCTCTTTTAGTTCTGATGAACTAAAGCAGATCGCGTTCACACCAAAATGAGTTCCTGGGGGTGGATTAGGCAAATGAGCCGCTGACGTCACTTCTTCTTCTTCTGCTTTGGGTTTACTGGCAGGCCGCAAACAACTTCACGGCGAGTACAGTAGGTGGCGGTATGCACCTTAAAGTTGCAATTCGCCAAAAAACCGAGAGAAGAAGAAGAAAAAAAACTTCCGCTTCCGCTGTATGCTTCTGTTTACCTTCCGACCTCAGACACGGTATGGAGTTGACGTTTTGGTGGTCGTGTTATACAGCTTCGTAACGGAGTTATTTAAGCCAATAACTCAGCCACAAATACAAATACAGATCGACCATTCAAATGCAATAGAAATGCTGAGTCGGAGGCGAAGGCGGTTAAGAAGCCTTAATAAAAGGATTGGACCACGAAAAGCACACGCGATGGACATGTTTCGCCGTAGGACAGCTGAGCATGATGACCGTTATCACGCCCAAAGAACAGCAATGGTACGTTCATTAAATCACATTAATACTATCTAATGTAGGATTTATGGAGTTATGTAGGGCTAATTTGTGTCTTTGTATGTGTTTCCAGATATGCGAATACTACGGAACGCGTCGTGTCCCGCGCTCTCTCTGGGTGAACAATAGAACATCGGCCTGGTGGGAGAATGTGGTGCCAACGTACACCAATGTGCAGTGGATCAAAGATTTCCGAATGTCCAAGGGCTCTTTTCAACTCCTCTGTATTCGCCTGGAAGCAACGTTGGGGAGACGCAACCTAAAAAAATCGCCGCGGGCATCTGAACAGCATGGAAATTGTAAATTGACAATAAAGCTGATCTTTTGTACAGTGCATTTGGTTCTCTCTTTTATTTACCACAGTCAACAGACACAATTACAATAGTGCAGACACACCTTAGTGCAAAGATTAAATGTCAGTATCAAAACAGTACTCATACTGTATATTTGTATATTAATATGAGTATATTATGTACTTTTATCGATACCGCTTATCGATCCGGTCCTTTAACGGTATTCTTATCGGTTATTTTGGAGAAGAAAATAAGGTAAATTAACTAAATAAATTGTGAACAAAATTAACATTGCTTTTTATTTAAATTAAATAAATAATATTTCACATCAAAAGAAACAACAGTGTTTTAACAAATCGTATTAAATAATGTGATGACAGAATTGCAAACAGAATAGCTGAAACTTTAACAAAATAGATAACTCAAATTACCTCTAATTATTAACCCATGTTTATATAATTGAGTTAACTCCGTGTGTTGTGTTGCTAGCATACATAATACCTGACGTGGAAAAGTTACTCGTGGATGGGGCTACAGAGCTACTAGAAAGACAGTCGAAAACGGTGCATTCCTCAGTCTGAATGTGGTGCACTTTTACAAGATGTTTAGACAAATTGCTCGTGTTACCGCCCTTACATGCTAAACTCTTATTGCACTTTTGGCAACGAGCATTGTCCACATCGAGACGGGTAAAGTTTAACCACACCTTGGAGCGCGTTCTCTCTGCCATCTCCTCCGTGTGTGTGCGTGTGTGCGTGCATGCGTGTGTTGCATGTAGCAGCCGCATGTGTGTAAACTGCCCCGCCCCCTCGCACACAGACCGGGGAGATCTCTCGTCTGGATTGGAAAGATCGAAAATACTAAAAGACTGCACGCATTTTGCAGTCTTTTTGCATATTAGAAACGGAGTTGGCGACACTAAAACTGCAATATAATGTTTGTGTAGCATAATACATGACATATCTTTTAGATGTCTCCAGTACCGATAAAAATACCGATAACGTCGGAGCTTAACGGTACCACGGTCTTTAATAATTCAGCCCCGGGGCCCGTTTAATACCGGGGCTCGGTACCCATCCCTACTCCTAACGCTAGCAATAGTGCAATGGTCGCTGATATCATTAGGAAAAACACCAACAGACACATACTTATGAGCTGCATTTGTTAGAATGACATCTATAAGGGTGTCATTATTGGGTTTGGCAGGGTTTATTCTAGTGGGACTATCAATAAGCTGAGTGAAGTTCAAAGAATCACAAACCTGCTTAAACTGTGAAGATTTATCACTCGACCAGTCCCAATTTAAATCACCCAATAATATGATTTCAGAAGAAAACATAGACAACAATTCAGTAAGGCTAGTAGTTGCATCCATGATGGCCGATAGAGGCCTATAACAGCCAATAACAGTGAGAGGAGCATTTGCTATAGTTATTTGGACCGCTAGCAACTCAAATTGCCTTGGAATTGAAATCGAATGAAGGACAGAGCACTGTAGTTTCTCAGCAGTGTATATTGCAACACCACCAGCTCTGCCCTTACGATCCGCTCTGAATACATTATATCCATCAATGTGAATAACATTTGTCAGTGACAAACGGTTTTAACCAGGTTTCAGAAACTACAACAATATCAGGCTTAGCAACTAAAAACCAGGTCTTGAAAATATCTAATTTGGGCACTAGGCTTCTAGCATTAACATGCAGAAAACCCAATCCTTGCCTACAGCTAAACTCATTCGGAGTTGGCATATGCTGCAGGGAAGCAGAGAAACACTCGTGACCAGTGTTAATGTTAACGTTGGCAGACAGTAAACGCAGTAACAGTACTAACAGCCTGGAAGAGCTTTTTTTCACATGGGCTCTGGACGAGTCACTCCTCAGGGGGGCGGGCCCGCTCCGATCCTTCGATATTAGCGAGTCCAGAGTCATAAGGGCATACGGGAGAGCGCATTTTGTGCTGTAAAACATCAGCTTTTGGTAAAAAACTATCCGATGGAGTCAGCGCTCCAGAGGTTCCACCATCCGAATGTCCAAAGTGAACAAAGACATCGCTGGGAGGCAATCCATCAGCTTTGCCGACATGCGGGCTGACAATTAATCCCAGAAAAAGAGCGAACACGAGGGTAACTTTAGGCAACATTGTGCTGCAACACACTTAGTTCAGGAACAGCAGCTCAGGTCGATCAGCCCCCGACAGCACGGCAGGACAGGCAGCTATCCAGAGTCCGAAAGAGCAACAGCTCAGACAGAGAGCAAACAATCCAGACACAGCGAGGCACAGGCACAAAACGACGAAAAACATCCTAAAAACTTTTAAAAGCACAGCAGACCTATTAAAAACGGGTCTAGAAAAGCTAAATAAAACATATAAAATGTCATTATGCACAAGAGGTAGTCAATGCCAAAAAAACGAGAATGAGACAAACCCTGACAGAGACAGAGACAAATCAACGTGCTGCCATCTTGGAGGACACCTGTGACGCATGTGTGTGATTGTGATAAATAATAAAAATAATCAAACAGAGCAGAGCTCCATCCTTTACTTACCATTGTGGATGCTGGTGAGCTCTATAACCTCAGGCAGAGGGGGCTGGTCTGGATGTGAGGCCTCTAGAGGAGGGGAAGGGTCCTCAGCTTCACTCTGCTCCTCACCCTTCCTCTCTGCCTTCCCTTCAGCATGCTCACTGCCTTCCACACCTGCAGCAACAGAGAGATGCTCACTGTGAGACCCATGATCAAAGGTCCATTTATCTGCCTTACGCAGCCTACACACGGCGGCGTGCGTTGCCGCTTGGCGGTGGGCGTGTCTTGAGCTTGGGGAGTTTACGCGAGCAACGCGACCAACAACCAATCACATGAATCTCCCGTGTCTCTCCCCAAGGGCTGGAAAATTGAAGAAGTGACCAGAAAGTCGGGTTTGTGAGCTGGAAAAAGCGATGTCTATTATTTTAGGTACTAAACGAACGGGGGCTTGCAAAACTTTTAGCTGCTGCAGGACACAAGAGTTTGCGGAAACAAGACAGGAGTTGATAATTGGAAGGGGGGGGTCTGTGTAAAGTTTGTGATGTGAAGGGGGGGGTTTCTGTTTGCAGCGGGGTAAAAAGGCTTTAAAAAGGCTCCTGTGTATGAATCTCACCATAGACATTAATGTCTAAAAAGCGATTTTTAATTAATGTCTATGGTGCTATTTTATGCAACATTGCATGGTGGCTAAATATACTGTCTATGCCTGCTGTCCATTCAAACGAAGTACACTGGATATAAACTCCCCAAACAGGCGAAAACCTACCAGTTTCACCCACTGTCTCTGCCACCTCCCTCCATGCCTGGCTCCTCCGGTTTGTATCCCGGTAGGTGAACAGGGACTGAAAGCACCGGGTGATTCCCTACCGCTACGATTATTTTCTCCTCCATTTTTTGGCATATGAGGAAATGAACTGCGGTCTGGCTCTCTCAGCATACACGCGGTTTGATTGGCTAGCGCTTGTACTGGCAGATTTGCATACGCGGGATTTGATTGGCTGACGCCTCCGCCTCAGCTTCAAAAGTAGAACATTGCTCTACTTTTGCAGCGAGCACCGCGAGAAAAGCTACGCTTTGCTCCCAGAATGCAGTTCGGCGAATCGTGACGTCACCCCATTCAAAGTGAATGGGCAGAAGCGTTGAAGCGTCAACGCACGCCGCCGTGTGTAGGGGCCGTTAGAGCAGACCTCATGGAAACCTACCAGTCCATGTGAGCACTGTAAACAGGCCTGCTGGTTGAAAAACACTGGAGACAAAGTTCAAATGAGCCAATATTTACATTCATTCAGGGAGAATTACATCCAGCGCCAATTCAGCTGCACAAACTGTTTGAGAAACACAATCTGAAAACTACATTTTACTGTAGTACTGTCATAGCTGTATGCATGTATCTACAACTGAAGTATTATCACTGTATAAATGTGTCCCCTCCCCGACGCCTGGTACATGGCGTCGGTACAGTCGTATATGTTTGAACCGGAGTCCGATCCTGAAAGTGAGACAGACCAACGTGATGGACCTGATCCACCATCCCAAACTAGAGCAGACGGTTTCACAGTGGAAAGTTTTTATTTAGTATCGCGCTTACATTTCAGATGTAAGTTACAACATTATGTAGCCAGCTAGCTGAAAACACCAACAGTAGCACACAACATTATATGCCAAGATATACACCATACCTATTTGTCAAGTCAATAGACTATTATATGCCCTTTTATTTCTTCCTTAGTAATTGAATGTTTATTTTGTAAACCTCGCCATAGTTGGTTTAATTGCTAAACGTGTTATGTTACAACCTATAGGAAGGTAAGATATTTGTAACACGAATTAACCAAGTCCCAGCACCTATTATGTGCATGGTACACCACCCAGGACTAGAGCCAAACTGTCTCAACCCATACACCCTGCAGAACCTCCATAACATTTACAGATTCGATTATGGACCTTTGAGGCGTAGAACGGAAGGAGAGTAAGTTATTCTTACCTGTAATAAACTACTACTGTGTTTGAAATCAAATCATGGTTTGCTATATGAATGATATGTTATAGGAGCAAATCATTCAGGGAAGAAAGACTACTAAGTATTTCCATCAAACTTTATTTTTAGAAATGTACAAAATTAACATGTGTAAATATACATACACTGTATATCATCCATTCCTCCCCTTATAGGCGTTTTCGGCATCTTGCCTATCGCAGCTTTGTAAGCTGGTGCTGGGGCTTTTTAGGACGAGGCATCAGAGTGGTCATCCTGTCATGTGTTGTCCGCCGGATACGCCAGGAGTTCCTGACGAAATCAAATGCAAATCACAAAATATTAGAGAAACTTAGTTGTTTTAGGTTTGTTAGCTTGCCAGCTAGACTAATATGCTAACCTACGTTTGCTAGTTGTTCAGTGTAATATGCCAACCTACTATGAACAACAGCCTGTGATTCATATTAGGCTAGCAAGAACATGTTTACAATTGCAATCTTATACGGGTAGTCTGCTACGTTCGGTCATTCATTGTAGCTGGCATAAAAACAATGTTTTCCCTGGCAAACTCATGTCTAGCTCTTGGTAGCCTTCTTTTTTAGCTTGGTAGCATACACGCTAGGAACGCCAACTATAATAATAATGTACCATACGGTAAATCCCCCGGAGTATACTGTCTATGAGTATTTTGTGTGTGAATGCAGACATTCTCCTGCTATGAGATACATGTAAGGCCATCTGCTGACATTGGAGTTGATATATGGAAACGCTAGCAACTTAGTTAGCCCAGTTAGCACTGTGTCAATGGCTTAGCAGCCCGAAAAACGTTACCCATTTAAACAGTCGTGGTAGATACCTTGTTTGTTTTAAACATCATAAATACACAAACAACAATGAATACTTACAGGTTGTGTACCCGAATCTCCTGCTGGTCCAAACAAAGTAGGAACAGCATCGTTATTCAGTGCCCTACGCTGTGCATATCCAGCCTGAATCGCTGAAAGGTTTGTGAAGCTTTGGTCCGTGAAATGCCGCGAATACAGTAAAATACCGGCTCGAACATCTGAAGGAAAAGTGTTAAAAATAAATTTCAACCAATTAGCGCGTTCACACCGGAGTACTTTTCCCACAATAGTTCATCAGAACTACGATATATTTGCGTTCACACCAAAAAGCCCCAGGAACTAAATTAGTTCATCAGAACCATTTTTACGCCGTTTTCAGTCCCTGCTCGAGAGCAGGGACTTACGTGGGAGAAAAAAGTTCATACGTCTGATTGGCTGTGCGGAATGCAAACCACGCCCGTTTGACTCTGAATTTTCTTTTTTAAGCGGCCATTGTATTTGCTCGCTTCGGGCAGCGCACCCGAAGAGATTACTTTTGTGAAAGCAGTTATTATAGCAACACTAAATAAATCATCGGAGCGGTGGAGTGATGAGGATGTGTCGGCGCTTCTGGCGATTTACTCGGAGGACGCGATCCAGAAGCTTCTACTGAAGGCAATGTCCGTGGTTCAGTAAAGTTAGCAGACCTGGAAAACCGTCAACAGCGCAGTCATGCCGGGAAGGTAAAATAAACTACATGCAATGCATTGTTTTAATCTGCACAATACTGGTCTCAGATGTACTTTTATTTGCTCGGTAGATCGAGTTAGCAATGCTAGGTTGAATTGGGTAACACTGTTAGCAGGCCGGAACCGAGCTAGCTAATAACATCTAGCTAGCTCGCTCGCTATTCTCGGCCACTATAAAAACGTTTTGACTTGTGAATAAGTGTGCAATGTTCTGTAATTTGCTTCACTAACTCATGGCACTAATCGTGTGTTTCAGGCGAGGTGTTTCTCTCTGGATTGGAAACTAGTTAGCTTTCCCCTCCGGGATAAAACGATAATATAACGTTAGCAATTAGCATGCTAGCTGGACATAATGCTACCTCTAACAATACATTGTAGTTGCTATCATTTCATGAGTCATTTGCAACATTCATTCTACATGTTAATGGTAAAAGCTTAAACAGTTGATTACCTGCATGCCACAAAGACTGATGTTCTAATATTTTGCACATTTAAGTAAAAATGTAATTGAAATTCAATATATTTTTCCTTTTTTTTTATTGATTGTTATAATTGTACTCAGCCATGTTATGTTAGATGTCAATCCACTTACACTGTAACTACTCTGGCCTTGAAAGAAGGTTACGCATCTAACTGATGTCCACTAATCCCTATAAAACAAAGTTCAAGCATACATTAAGCACAAAACAATAAATAAGGGCACTTTTTTTTTTTTTATATATTATTTGATCCTATCTTATCTTCTACTTTACACCTGCATTTTGTACACTGTCCCTGCCTGCACCATGTCCAATGTTGTCTCTGTTGACAACCTACTAGGCGATTAAACTGATCTTGTATCTTGCTTATTTCTCCTTAGGAAAGCGGGCACGGGATGACAGCTTCCTTGACACCATCATGGCGATGGACCGCCGTGCCATGGTCAGCAAGGAGAATGAGGACCTGCGTGCCAAGGAGATGCACGACGAACGGCTGCTGCATTCACACAAGGCCCAGGAATCGGACGACCAGCTGCTCATGGTGATGCCGCGCCATGCTGACTCGGCGGCGCGCCAGGTGGAGGTGTCGGCGCGCCAGGTGGAGCAACATAATACCTTTCAGGCTGGGCTTCTGGCAGTGCTAAGCGAGCTGATTAAATCCAACAGGCCTTCAATAAAAAAAAATTAAGAAAAACTTGTCATCGTTGATAAACTGTACAATGACTTGTTGGGAGGCGTGTGGTGCAGTGATCTGGTGCGTTGGTGTTCGGATCAGGGGAGCACAGGTTCAAACCCCACTGCAGTCAGCATGTCGTTGTGTCCCTGGGCAAGACACTTCACCCCAAATTCCCTACACCTGGGACAGTTAATTTTGTATTATTGTGATTATATATATGCCACTGTTATTAATACTGACACTTCACTTTGCACTAAGGTGTGTCTGCTGCTGAGCCTACCTATTGTTATAATATATATATAAAATATATATATAAAAAAAAAATATATATATATATATATATATATATATGTTTTGATACTACCGACACTTTATTTTATATTGAAAATGTTAACTTCTATTTACATGCATACGACACACCTGGGACAGCATGATGCTGTTATTGATATTGTCTTGAGTGTGCAATAAAAGAGAACCTACATGGCGATTAAACAGAGCCTGTATCTTACATTTTTCATTACATTTCATGTAACTAACAGGGCTCAACATTAACGACTGCCCGATGGCCCGGGGCAATCTAGTATTTAGCTCGGGCAATGAAGCCTCACCTGCTGGTTGCCCGATCGGGCAATCTATTATGGCAATTGTGGAGACGTGTCAGTGCCTGACAGCGGTCAAATCGGTTGGAAAACGATGAAAAAGTTGCCAAAAGTCGGTCAACCCGTCTTTCTTCATGGACGTCGCCCAGAGTTCCCGTTAGAATATTTTTTCGTCTGTCAACATGTCCGTTAAAGTTGAAAACTTCCGGACAAAAGTAGAAAAGTGCCGGTCAAAGGTCTTCTTTGTTATTTATTGAGCTTTAAAACAAATTGATATGATTCGATATTAAACAAACTAATTATAGTAGATTAACTACATTATTCAAAAGTGTACAGTAATTTATAATAACACGGGAATAATAAACGGAGCGCTCTCTCCCTCTCCTGACAGCCCGCCAGTATCATGCAGCTCGCAGATCCAGTAATGAGTGACCCGACAGTAAAACTAAACATATCTATAACTAGTTTAGGTAGTTTGAGAGGTAATTAAAATAGCTACGTGTGATATTCTAACCTGAAGTGTGTGTTTTGTTCCGCTCACGGCTGCATGTGATCATGCAGAGCTGCGTGTCGACTCGTCAGCAGCAGCTGATCTCTCCATCCCGTCAGATTAGACTTCACTCGCGTTTATGTCCATATCGATCAGATCCAGCTAGTTCTAGCTAATGATATGACTACCTGCTTATTAAAAGACACCTAAACAATAAGTGTCGCTATGCAACCGGGTGAGGCCGCAAAGTATAGCGCAGCATTATGCATTTGTTTGATTTGTTTACATGCCCACCGGAACCCCGAGGCATTACCAACAGATCAACGCACAATCAACCCATACAGTCTCCCAGACTAACAGTAGATAACATTACAAACATTTTTAACAGGGGCCATAATAGTGTAAATAATGTTTGTTTTGGCAGTTATAACTGAATGTAATGTTTTCTACTTTTTTACATCTGGGAAGGCATTTGCCTTCATCAGATGGAAAGTGTCTTGACCAACAACTTAAGTATTTCTTATAGCTATGCAGGGCATGCAAGCGAGCAAACACAAACAAGAACTCATGCAAACAAACAAATGAAATGAAGAATAAAATTGAAATTGTACAATAAAATATTGTGGTGGTTCATCTTATAATTCAGTCTAGAGAATGCACCAGACAGCATCTAAGACCTGCAAAAATCTAAATGTTCTAGGGGGAGGCCCCCCAAACCCTTCGTGCGTCATTTCGTCCGCGCGCATTTTTCAGGGCAATCTCTATTGGGCTCAGGGCCATCTGTAAATTAGCTTAGATGGCCCACAGGGCCATCTCCCAAAATCCTTAATGTCATGCACTGAACTAAGCTTGCTTATTTCTCCTCTGACACTTTATCTTTACAGTGACCTGTGTAGCATCCTATACATCACATGTAAGTGATTATTCTGATACCATCATGTTTCATTGGTTATAAACTGGCGAAGCTTTATTTATTGTGGCTTTCAAAAAGATAATTTCATTGGATTTCAAAATGGCGTCCATCAACACAACCACTATTTATTTATAGAAAGAGAAATGGTTAAGTTTGTTATTACCAGTGTTGTGAGTTCAATATTTTTTATTAATTATAGTAAGGGAACATCTTAGGAGTTAGTGTAGTGAGTTTCAGAGCAGTGTAATAATTATTTGACCTAAAACTAAATGTTTTTATGAACATGACATGGGGATTTGCTAACTTTTGATTTCCCCCATTTTACACAACACAAATGGAGGCCACTATGGGCCACAACTAACACGTAGGTTTCTGTAGGGTTCATGGCAGACGGATGCAGTTGCTCTCAGGAGGATATATAATAAAGGTGTGTTAACTGCTGAGTCTATTTAGTGTGCATATGACACACCTGGCACAGTTTATTCATTTCACACAGGTTATGCAATCCATAGCGCGTGCATGTCGTCGTCCAATCCTTTTGTCAATCCTTCTTAACCGCCGTCGCCTCCGAATCAGCATTGCTATTGCATTTGACTGGTCGACGATCTGTATTTGTGTTTGCTTAAATAACTCAGACGAAGCTCATGTCTGAGGTCGGAAGGTAAACAGACGCCTCATATACAGCAGGTGGGCGTGGCAGTATACGCGGGAGGTTTTTCTTCTTCTTCTTCTCTCAGGTTTTTTGGCGGATTGCAACTTTAAGGTGCATACCGCCACCTACTGTACTCGCCGTGAAGTTGTTTGCGGCCTGCCAGTAAACCCAAAGCAGAAGAAGAAGAAGTGACGTCAGCGGTTCATTTGCCTAATCCACCCCCAGGAACTCATTTTGGTGTGAACGCGATCTGCTTTAGTTCATCAGAACTAAAAGAGTTCTCATGAACTAAAGTTCTCATGAACTATTGTGGGAAAAGTACTTGGTGTGAACGCGCCTAATGACTTTGTCGTGGTTCTGCCCTCGGTAAGGCATGCATTGAAGATTTCCCCTCACAATACCGGAAACAGACCCTCGTTGGCATGACTGGATACATTTTTTAACTGAACCTGAGCTTCCAACAGTATATATATGTTCTGCTGGCAGAGGGTGCGGCCTCTGGGTATTGACACGTCAGAGAACCCAGGAAGAAAACAATGGAAAATGAGAAATCTCCAACGAGGCGTTTTGGGGCAGCATAGACAGGTCTTTTCTGTGTTAAGAGTTTTACTCGCTACAGGGTGTACTTTGAGGGTTTTTGACTCTGCAGACCGTTTACATGCATAAAAACCTTCATAACACACAAGGGGACGGGTAATAACCGGAAAAGCATGACATGGGCCCATTGTTGAGGTCTACTAGAATAGATTTATATTGTGCAATTTTCCAAACTCACATTGGTTTCTCATACAGCATCTCTGTAAACTACGTGTATTCACTGAATTTCACTCTCTGCCTTTAACGGCTCGTTGTAGCTCCAATAGCTCCAGCCCCCACCCTCCCTGTGAGCACAGTGTGCTCTGATTGGTCGGGACGTTGTGAATCGCGCTGAGCTCCGTGGAGGTGTTGTTTCCTTGTTAGCGATACACAAACACAGCCAAACTCATCCTGAGCACACACAAACTCACATCCGAAGTAAAAACAATAAGTGTGGCTTGATATTGAGTAAGAAAAAGGTTGATAAACGCTGTGAGAATGGGTCTGCAGAGAGAATTTCGTCGCCATCCCAACTGTCTGTTATCAGCCTGCAGCCAGGGAGGAGAAATCAGCTGAGCTGCCTGCTCCCTGCACACAGATGTGTGTGTGAGGAAGTCCGTGGATTGGTCAATTTGGACCAATCAGCGGGGGCTTAACGTAACGGCTCCACGGATTGGTCCATTTCGTTCCGGGTACGGCTTGACATCATGCCGTACCCGGAACGAAATGGAAGAATCAAATGGACAATGACGTATCTCCAACGAGGCTTTTTGGGGAGGTCTTTTCTGTGTTAGAGTTTTACTCGCTACAGGGTGTACTTTGAGGGTTTGTGACTCTGCACACCGTTTACATGCATAAAAACCTTCATAACACACAAGGGGACGTGTAATAACCGGAAAAGCATGACATGGGCCCTTTAAGATACTTGTTAGAATCAGTTCACCATTAATATTATTGGTCAACTTATCAGATGAGGAGTGCACAGATGTTATTTCAATCAAATATTCTGATGATAACATGACAGCAGATATGCCCGACCTTCTCTGAGAGTGAGCAGCTCCTCTGGGGGCCGTGGCATGTCGTCCATCACCAGGTAGAGCGGCTCGAAGTGGTGGAAGAGCGAGGCCGTCTTCTCGTTCATGGAAACGCTGTCGATGACCTGAAGAGCCAGAGGACACTTTTAATCATCTCTGAACTGATAATTCCAGCTTTTATTTGTATTTTATTATGATGCCTCACTTCATATTCACAAGTTTATTGTGAATTGATTCAAGTCAAGAGTTAAAAAACAATTTATCACCAGACCTAAATAAAATAAATATTGTTAACAGCTAACTGACACTCAGTCAACATGCAACTGGGATTTCAGCTGTTACTCTTCATTTAAAAAATATGTATATATTTAATGGGGATATCCTTTTCTTCATCTGCAAATGCTATCACGCCAGAAATGTTCAGTTAAAATATGTGAATGAAATGTTTCTTATAAAGGTACCTCCTGTGCTACTTTCTTCATTTCGTCCACGTATGCAGCCATAGCGCTCTCAGTGTTCATCTCCCCCAGCCGGCACCACGCATCCCTAACACACACACACAAACACACACACACACACACACACACACACAAAACAAAACCTTTGACACGAAGCTTAATGTTGACCGTCATTTGAATGTTGGACAATCTTACTTCAAAAATCGTATTTATATGCAAACATATGGAAAACATTGAAACTGTGTCATCTATGCTTTTATGACATCAAAGGTTAGATTAGTACTGTGAAGCTTCTCCTGGACCAGAGTGCTGCACTAAGACACAATAGCCAACACAAACATGTAAATACCGGCAACCATAACATCCCTATATATATATTACCTCACGTTTCAGATAGTAATCATTACTTTAGGGACGTAGGTTGTGGTGGAGAGACAATCCACCTACATATTTTGGGATGGTACTCATTTGAAAATTGTGTTTAGGGTAGAATATCTTCATTAAAAGAAAAACCAAACATATTCTTTCTAAACAAAAGGGTGCAATTAAAGAGTATTTCCTTTTTAAGTTGGTCTGTTGCTAATATAGTATACAAAATATTAACAAAGTGATTCAATTTTTTATGATATAAAAGAGAAAAATCTATCTATTTGAAGAGCTGGTCCAGGTAATTGATGGCATTTCTTCTTGTCCTATGTTATTATATGAATTGATTCACAGAAGAAGCACTATTATCATACTGCAGGTTTAATCATATTTGCTATATATACACTCTCTCGTTCAGTCAGAATTGTTGGGCATTATTACACAGGAATAAAACGTATACAGTAAATATGTGGATCAGAATAAAACATTGCACCTTTAAGCAGGACCCTGATGTCTCTCATCAGTAACCAGGCAAAAGAGCCCTTGCTCTGTTGCATGGTTAACTGAATTACACTGATCACAACAAACTCCATGAAGAGACACTTATTAAATGTGTGCTTTAGTGTTTACTGGAAACCTTTCTAATGCGAAGTAGATAAATAAATAAATAAACAGCTAGCCGTTATTTTGCTAGAGGAAATACAAGCACTTGTAAAAGCTGCTGAGTAGCTCCTGTATGTGCTACTGAAACTGACCTGATTCATCACAATGACATTCAAGCCCTCACACACATACACACCATTTGTAGCGACCAACTGGGTCCCAGAAGCCGGGCCGGGGGACAGTACAGGGTCCACACACCGCCTGCTTGTACAGACTGTAGAAACGCAGCATCACCTCATAGGACGGCCGGTAGGAGCCTGCAGAAAACACAGACCCTTATCAGGAATGTTCAACTGTCTGCTGACTTCTACCTCGACTACACATAGGGACTATTAGGATTAACCCTAACCCTTTACTTTCAGGTCAAAGAGCTGTGTTCAGAAATCTAAGAGTTCATGTTTTAACATTAACTGGCCATATTAATCAATTCAGTTAATATGACTTTGTCACCAGTGGAGTTTGGAGAGGATGTATGGCAGACATGTCACAAGTTAATGTATCAATAAAATGTGCTGGTCACTCTTCTTTGTAAAAACAGCATTAACCCAAACTCTATTAAAAATGTTGGGGCAAGGAGCTGTGTAGGGTTTAACAAAGAGCTACACTGGAATTCCACTTGATGTTTTCAATTATGAGATTGAATGATGATGATGCTGCTGATGACGATGATGATACTACTTTTCATTCAAAGATCTGCTTGATAAAACTCAAAATATCCAGAAAACCATACATAGCAATTAAGGTCTTACTACATTCTGCCTGCTACACTTGTCTTCTCTACACCAACAGTTTCTGAGTGATGGTCGGTTGGACACTGACTGTGTGCAGCACAGCAGGAACCACAGCTGCACTAACAGGTCAAGCGGCCTGAGGATTCTGCAATAATAAATCTACTGTGTGCTCAGCAGCAAACCTTCTGACACACATGAGATAATGGGATGGCTGTGAAAGGCTGTGTACCATTCTTGGGGAGGTTATGGATGACATCCACAGCAGCCTGAAAGCGCTTCTGGTGATCAACCACAGGCTGTGCCATAGCCAGGACTGGCATGACACTGGGACTTGTTTAATCTAGCTTCAGGGACAAGTGCACTGGAGCTGAGAGAGCACACACACACACACACAGTTAGAGTGGAATCATCAACTGACGTTACATGACACACACTTTGATCTAACGAGACTGTATGTAGCATGCAACACTCAACATTAAGTATTGCATATTTAACAGGTTACTTTTGTAACATGTAGGCTACCATACACTCTAATATTCAGGTTCTGTACATCAATTTAATAAAAAACATGTAGTAAAACACAAGGGAGTTAGCTAAGCTAGAAAACTTACCTCTAGCTAACCAAGTTGTGCAGGTGTGACGTTAGCTTAGTTAGCAGTTAGCTCTTTAACTTGTCTTACCTCACTTGCCGCCACTTTCCATGACCAGGCGGTGTTATCCAGCGGCTCAGTCTGTATCAGAAGTACACGAGGATGTGTGTCTCTGTTACTTATGGGGTTACTTTCTTTGGCGGAACAGTGTTGTTGTTACCTGACCGGGCTGGGCTATCAGGCAAACTCTACGCAAATCATGTCCGGACACTTCTTCTTCTTCTTCTGCTGTTTATTCGGAGGTAGCTGTTGGCAACTACCGAGTGGGTGCATAGCTCCCCCTCCTGGACTGGAGTGCACACAGTAGATTGGCAGGAAAACAAACAAACTGATTTATTTCCTAGCAGATTCCTTAAAGCTCCCATGTCATGCTTTTCCGGTTATTACCCGTCCCCTTGTGTGTTATGAAGGTTTTTATGCATGTAAACGGTGTGCAGAGTCAAAACCCTCAAAGTACACCCTGTAGCGAGTAAAACTCTAACACAGAAAATACCTCCCCAAAACGCCTCGTTGGAGATACGTCACTGCCCATTTGAGTCTTCCATTTAGTTCCGGGTACCGCCTGATGTCATGCGGTACCCGGAACGAAATGGACCAATCCCGAAGAGCTATGGCCACACCAGCAGCGGCGTGTTCCTCCTCCAGAGGTTCGAAGAACCGGCATTTCACAGACGAAAGCTTCCAAAACATTGCCCAGTTTGAGGCCGGATATGCACAGCTTGTTTGGACCGTTTGGAGCAGGGGAAGATCTGGGTATACAACCTGTAAGTTTGCATTGTTATTTGTGTATTTATCAAACAAGACTGTTTAAATGTGTAAACTGTGTTGGACTGCTAAGCCATTGACACAGTGCTAACTGTGCTAACTAAGTTGCTAGAGTTTCCATATATCAACTCTAATATCAGCAGATGGCCTTGCATACATGTATCTCATAGCAGGAGAATGTCTGCATTCACACACAAAATACCTATTGACAGTATACTGCGGGTGATTTGCCAGTCAGTCGCGAAACGTAATTACATTATAGCTGGCGTAGCGATCTAACACACGGAGCTAGAGCTAGTTTTGGTCAGAAAAACATTTTTGTGATGCTACGTTGCTAGCGTTTAAATATATCAACTACAATGTCAGCAGATGGCCTTACATGTTTGTCATGGCAGGAGAATGTCTGCAGTCACACACACGGAATACTCATACAGTATACTCCGGTTTACCGTACATATACTGCATGTAGCTAACGAGGCTAGCTGTATGCTAGCGCAAAACAATGTATTCATGCAAGTTACATTGTATGGTAGCAGAATACCCGTATACGATTGCAATTATAAACACGTTATTGCTAGCCTAATATGAACCACTAGCTTTTGTTCATAGTAGTTTTATTACACTGCATTATAGTTGCCTTTCCTCCAAGCTAACGTTCATATCGTGTTAGCTACCAAGGTAAACAAAGCTAGGTTAGCATATTAGCAGGCAAGCTGTTCATTACACAACTACTACTAACGAATCTAAAACAACTAAGTTTCTCTAATATTTTGTGATTTGCATTTGATTTCGTCCAGCCAGATCCTGGCGGACAATCCATGACGGGGAAGGGATTCTACTACTACTGAGGCCTCGTGCTAAAAGGCACCGCACCGCACCGGCTGTGCGCAGGCAAGAGGAGGAGGAATGGATGATATACCGTGTATATATGTATATTTATGTTCATTTTGTACATTTCTAAAAATAAAGTTTAATGGAAATACTTAGTAGGCCTATCCTTTCTTCCCTGAATTCATATATAGCAAACCATGATTTGATTTCTCATCAAACAGTAGTAGTTTATAACGGGTAAAAATAACTTACTCTTTGTTATGAGAGTAGCTCGTAGGCCACAACGGAAAGACAAGGAGACATACACGAGTTTACAAAACCACGGCACATTTATTGTGGTAAATGCAAAGATAGGTGGTTGAGAGGATCGCAGAGTTAGTCTTCCTGCAGCCGCTTTGGAGAGAGACTGGGGCCGTAGTGTCCGGAGGTGTCCGTGATCGTGCTGATTAGCCTCTTCAGCTCCACCCCATCGTAAGACAAAGGCCCTGGGGCCGTCACACTCTTCTATAACAACAGTTAAAAATATATATGTATATAAAATATACCGCTGTACCGACGCCATGATAAGACTGATGTTACGCTGAGAGCAGCCGGGAAAAGCACTGTTAGACATGGGCGCAGCCTCTCTGGTGGTTGACTAATCAGAACGAGTGGCCGAGCTGACCAATCGGAGCACACTAGGCTCACAGGGAGGGGGGGGCAAGAGCTCCAACGAGTCGTTTAGTGGAGAAAGTGAATACTGCTGAATACACATGCTTGACAGAGATGCTGTATGCGAAACCAATGTGAGTTTGGAAAATTGCACAGTATAAATCTATTTTAGTATACCTCAACAATGTAATTATGATCAGTGGAAATGGCCATGACATGGGCCCTTTAAAGGTAGGGTAGGTAAGTTTGAGAAACCGGCTCGAGATCGCTAGAATTTTGAAAAAAAATACACAACCGGAGAAAATCTGCCACTTCCTTATAGAGCCCCTCCTCCAACACACACGAACGCGCACATGACCAATGAGGGCACGAGATAAGTTTGTGCACAGATGGAAGGCTGACAGGCCGGTAGGTAGGTTAAGTACATTGTCAGAATAAGTGAGAAATGGATTTAACTTCTGTTTTACATATGCCATACATTTTTGCATACATTCATAGTAAATATTTATTCAGTATGATAGCTGTCTAACAGAAGTTAAATCCATTTCTCACTTATTTTGACAATGTACTTAACCCCAAATAAAAGAACCCAATAAAAATTGTTGTTAAATAATAGTGAAGTCACGTTGTATATATATATATAATATCTGCATGTATATTTTCTATTTCGACATGTATATTTTATATTTTATTTTATTTTTCTTTCTATTCTTGTATATTTTGTAGTTTTGTTTTATTGTAAAATGCCTTTTATGCTGCTGTAACAACAACAATTTCCCAATTTGGGATCAATAAAGTACTATCTATCTATCTATCTATCTATCTAACAATAACTCATCTCTCTCGGTTTTCTGAGTTTTCTTTGTGTGCTTTGCCAAATGCCACTGTGTCAAGTGTCCTAGTTGGGTTGCCGTATGGAGTTGTGCAATATGGCGGACCATCTCGCACATGCGCACTGCAGATAGGGCAGGGCGGCAGAACGGGTAGTGACGCTGGGTGTTTCTCAATCGCGAGTACGCTTGCTTGGTAGCACATGTCTGCCGAGCATCTTGCTTCAGAAGCGAGTCAAGAATACTTCCTGGCATTCGGAAAACGAAGTGTGGAACACGCTAGCAAGTGTGCAGGTGTGCGTCATATGAGAGGCCCCGCCTTACATCTTCCGCCACAGATTTTGGGGAAATTGGTCCGTGCGCAAAGCATTGTGGGGATTTTAAGACCGCGGAGTCTACTCATGTGCAGCCTCGATATTTCTCCAAACGGAGTACGCCGGGCTCGGTAGATTTCCAAGTATGCTGGAGATTGGAACAGTACTTCGGCGGCACTCGATGACGTAGTATGCTTGAAATAGTGGCTCTGAAGCAGCTTTACTCGCGATTGAGAAACACCCACGGGCTGCGTCTCAGGTCGACTATTTTCATTTCCTCAGTCCTCGGTCCTCGGTATCACCGGAAGTTGATTTGTCTGCGCCATCTTGAGTAGCGTCCCATGGCTCTTATTTCTGCCGGAGGACCAAGGACCGAGGATCGAGGAGCGAGGAGCGATAATGGAGGAGCGATAACCGAGGAACCACCAGACCATCCTCAGATGAAATCCTCAGATACTCGCTCCGCCCCCTTACTGTGTATCGCTCACTGATTGGACGATGCAGCGCATGCACTGATCTGATGCTTCTTGACATGTGAGCAGTTTCCCAGCGGAGTGAAGAAAATACATGAAACTCACGAGAGTCACTCCTCAGTCTATACTGTGTTTTGTTTCAATTAATGTATCATTTAGTTACAAATATGTGATATATCTGAACAACAAAGTGGTCAAAAATCATTTTATCATTTCATGATCGCTTTTTTCGTTTATACATTTTAAGAATGGCATTTATCTTTTTTGAGAATGAGTTCTTATTTTATTTTTATTTATTTGGGTCTACAACAGATGATACAAATGTATATGTCAGTAAATGTGTACTAACAGAGGCGGGGGTGTGTGTGAAAACAACGGGGACAGAGCTGCTGTCAGACATCAGCTGTGAGGTGTCATCACAAACGGACGTCGCTTCACGTGACGCTCCGGAGGAAAGGACGTCCCATTGCTCTTAAAACTCATTTCCCTGCTTCTCGTGGTTTCCTTGCGTCTCTCCATGTTTCCCTGGTGGGAGGGACTAAACGCAGGGAAACGACGCAAGTGAGGGATGCAAGGATTCCATTTAATCGACCTGAGATGCAGCCACGGCCTACCAGGGCTGCGTTTCACTTCTCTTATTTTTCATTTCCTCGCTCCACGGTCTCGGTCTCACCGGAAGTTGATTTGTCTGCGCCATCTTGAGTAGCGTCCCAATGGCCTTATTTTTGAGAAGGGTCTAGCTGCGGCCGCGGCCAGTACACGACACTACACGACACGCCCACTACACGACACGCCCACCTAACACGACACTACGGTGGCTGAGAGACATTACCATACATGGCAGATTAAAAGCGAATTGACGACACTGACGCTGATGCAAGGATATTTAAAGAGACATGAGGTTCAGAGAACAGACAAACAATATGGCGCACCGAGTACAGGTAATTAACGTATTGTGGTTTTAGATATAATTACATACTATTTAGGTTCTCGTTTGTTTGTCGATGTGGCTGTTTTAGCGCAGTGTAATTGTGTTTATTTAGCTAATTTGTATTTTAAATATTAAATGTAAAGGAATGGAATACATATAAATATATATATATCTTAGCTCTTAGCTTGACATGCTCGACGTTCAGTTAGCATATATGCTAACTGAACATGCTCGTTCAGTTAGCATGTCAAGCTAAGAGCTAAGATATATGTATATAGTTTAGCTTGACAGATGGAACAATGCATGTACTCGCATTTTTACAAGAATCTGATTTTAAATATTCATTGAAGGTGTCTTTCACATTTGAATGTTTTAAAAAAAAAACATGTATTAGCTGCTATACTGACATGCACATATGTATAATTATATTATTATTTTAA